CCCCGCCATGCACAACAAGGCATGCAGGTACCAGGCTCCCTGAAGAGGGCAGCACAATGGGCAGAGTCCTTGCCTGACCTTCCCAGCAGGGCCAGCCACATCCCAGGACTATGAACACCCTGCGATCCACAACCGTAGTCCACTCCACTCAACTCTCCATTCCAACAGACCCCTGCGCTGAGAGGGGTGCTCAGCTCCTTGCCTCTACAAGGAGGCCACGAGGCACAGCAGCCACATTAGCTGTTAGAGATATCAAAGCCAACTAGTATTTGCTAGTGGCAGGACCAGACCAGACACCTGGCTCCCAGCTCCAGTTCTTTACCAGGCATCACCACGCAAGGTTCCCCTTACAGCCAGCTCCATGCTTTGTGCCACTAAACTGTGAGCCAAGATCCCCACAGAGTGGGCACTATCCTTAGGGTCTCAGGTTTTGTTTGGGGTGATAGTGCAGATGCAAACGAAATAATCAGAAAGTGATAAAACTGAGTTCTATGGCCAGAGCTGGGCCATGCAAATCAGGAGAAGCAAATAACATGCCCTGTTTAGACTGCGCCGAGCTACAGATGGAAGACCCTGTGGCAGTTCAGAGATGGAGCCAGACCACCTGGGTATCCTCAGTACAGATGTCCCTATTTAAGTTTCTCCAGAAGTTTTCTGTGTGTGTTGCTTTCTGAATTTAGTGCAAAATCATTACTGGGGCTAGAGGATTCTTTTAAAATCTCACCTCCCCACCCTCACTCAGCTTTTCTTACTCCCAAACCCCATAGCCATACCCCTTTTTTTTTGATTTAAAAAAAAAACAACAACAGCAACAAAAAACTACTGTTAGGGCTAAATTTTGCTTTTGAAATAAAGGAAACCGCAATGTCACTTCAACGTTGTGCACAGTGGAATTTGTCTCCCACTCCTCCCCAAGTCATGCTGATGTGATGACAAGGAAGTTTTAAAATGTATTCTTTTCATTTTATTTTGTTATTTTGTGGTGCTGGGGATCAAACCCAGGGCCTCACTCATGCTAAGCAAGTGCTCTACTAGTGAGCTACACCCCAGCCCCATTCCACCCCCCTAATGAATGAATGAATAAAACAAAGTCATCAATAAAGAACAAAAAAAGTCAACACACCGCTCTGGGAAGATAGAAAAAGGGCCAGTGACCGCTGAGTTAGCAGTGGAGTAAATTATGAAGTGTCAAACTGCGGAGGGCTGGTGTGGCAGCCCTAGGATGCCTGCAGTCAGAAACAGCCTGCACAGGCCAGGAGCAGAGGCACCAGGCGAGGCTGGAAGCACAGGTATGTGGCATGTGAAACCAGGGAGCTGACCGTGATGCTCGGAAGGAGCAGCCCCAGGCCCAGCCCTCACTCTGCAGCGCCAGGACAACACCCTCTCTGGCCATGCAGCTTGTCAATCATCCTGGACCTTTGGGAGTGAAAGTAAGGGGTCTGGCTGTGGGCACATGTCCAGCCACCCTACGGTGTCCTGAGCATGAGGTGCAAACTATACTGCCCTTCCGTCAGGACCAAGGGTGTGTAATGAGAACAAGCAACAACAAAAGGGACGCTGGGAAAAGACCAGAGACAAAGGGTGACTTGATTTTGAGGATGATAAGATTTGGAGAAGATACTATTTTTGCTCCTTATATCTAAGAAGTCAAAATTCTTTAGTGAAACTTCAAATGGTGTCTATTTGCAGATTCTGGTGCTCAAGAGGAGCAGCCTGTATTCTCTGCTGCACATGAGGACTGAAGGTTAGAATGAAAGCCTTCTTCAGCTCTTGCCCTCTCTTGGGGAATTTTTCAACTACATCAAATCTTTATATTTTGTGAAACTCTCCTCATTGCTAAGAACGACTCTGCATTGGATGTACTCACAGCTCTTTTGCACTAAGCCACTGAGCTGAAGGTGACAGGTACTCAGGGCAGTGAGGTGGGCAGTAGCCTTGGAAGTGTTCCCTTGCAGGGTGCCAGAAGACCCCAAGCATGGGCCAGCTCCTGACACGCCAGCCCCATCATTTTACCTGTGAATTCAGGTTCAGGATGGAAGTTCCCGTTGGTCTCATATCATGGCAAAGTGGATGGAAAATAGTCTTCATGTTCTTTGAGGGAGCATTTTATATCATTATTTCTTTGATTATGGTAAAAATACACAACATACGATTTGCCCTCCTGACCCTCCGAGGTGGTATTATTATACCATCATCGTGTGCAATAGGCCTCCACACCAGCTCCTCTCTAAAACTGAAATCTTGCACCCACTGAACATCAGCTCTCCCTTTCCCTTCTCCCCAGACCCTCGCTCCCTGTCTACTTTCTGTTTATAAAGTCGGCCAATCTAGGTGCCTGCTCAAGAGTGTGGTTGTGCAGTATTTGATCTTTTGAGACCGGCTTATCTCATTTATATAATGTCCTCAGGGTTCACCAATCCTGCAGCACATGTCAGAACTGCCTTCCTTTTTGTGGCTGAATAATATTCTGTTGTATTTACATACTATATTTGTTTATCCATTCACCTGTGGATGGACCTGGGCTATTTTCCCCTCTTAGCTACAGTGAACAGAGATTCTGTGAGCATGGGGGTGGAAACAGCTCTTACAGATCCTACTTGGCATGCTCTTGGGCGTGGATCCAGAGGTAGAATTGCTAGACCATATGGTAGCTCTATTTTTAACTGATTGAGCTGCCCCCCCCATTGTTTTCCACAGAGGCTGAACCTTTTACAGTCCCACTAATGGCATAAGAGGTTCCAATTCCCCCACACACTTGCCAACACTTGTTACCTTTATAGCAGGCAACCTAATGGTATGAGGTGACAACACATCTTGGTTTTGATTTACATTTCTCTAATGTGAGTGATGTTGGGCATTTTTTTTCATGTGCTTATAGGCCATTTATCTTTGAAGAATTGTATCTATTCAATTCTTGTGCCCATTTTTTTAATGGTATTATTCAGATTTTTTATTGTTGTATTGTGGGTTCTTTTTATATTGTGGATATTAACCACTTATCAGACGTTTGATTTGAAAATATTTTCCGATGTTACATAGATTGACTTTCTCACTCTGTCCATTGTGCTCTTTGATGTTCAGCAGTTTTGAAGTTGGATAAGGTCCCAGGTGTTCATTTTGCTGCTTCTACTTTTGGTATCATATCCAAAAAATCATTGCCAAACCCTGTGCTATAAAGCTTCCCCCACGTTCTTTTCTAGAGGTTTCACAGTTTCAAGTCTTACTTTTAGATCTCAACCCCTTTTTAAGGTAAATTTGGGGCATTCTGTAATGACGGGCATCCACCTCATTCTAGAGCATGTGGCCACCCAGCCTTCCCGACATGGCTTGTTGAGAGGACTGTCCTTCCTCCACTGAAGGCTCATGGCGCCTACGTCAAGGGTCGTTCCGTGGTTCTGTTTTTTGTTTTTTTTTTTTTTTTTTTTTAGCTTCTTCACCTGATGTAAATTATTTACAGAGCCTCCCTAAGACTAAGGAACAAAGAGTACTTTTCTAAAATATCTTTCAAGTTGGCTCAACCAATGTCTTTCTTCTTCAGCAGTTTTAAAGTAAATTCACACAAATATAAAAGACACACCTCAATGAGTTTCACCCTTTAAAATTCATTCAGATCCTGGGGATGGAGTTGTGGCTCTGCAGTAGCTCACTCACCTAGCATGTGTGAGGCAGTGGGTTCGAGCCTCAGCACCACATAAAAATAAATAAAGTTTATTCAGGTCCCAATGAAATTCTCTTTAACTCAATGAAAAATCTGGATTCCCACAGATGGAAAAATCAGTAATCGTCATCTGTCTTAATGAATCATCTGGACTTCCTTTTACACACCAGGGGATGTCGACAGGAAGGAGAATGCCTACGTTGGCAGCGTGTTCCGGCTCTTTCACCCAGGGTGGCCGGCTGGGCACCAAGTGGTCACTGCTGGCCTGTGCTCAGGTGTACCAGGCCCACCGTGGGTCTGCAGCTCCGTGCTTTCCGGAACCTGCCCTGCACATGCAGGGACAGAATGTGTGCCTTTGCCACATTCCCGAGGGCCACTGCAGGTCCTGCCTGCTTCATTGACGGCTCTGGTAAGTTCGTGGGAGGTGACGACTGTGCAAAGGCAACATGAGCACCTTTTAAAGGTCAGTGCGATCTCTGCACACGCTCTGGAAACACAGAGTCCTTTCATAGATTCACCACATCTAGAGGCTCCATGTCGGTTTTCCTGAACCTGGCAGTACGTGTGTGACCAAAGCAAAAACCATGACCATCTTATGAAGCTACCACAGGAGGACCGTGAAAACACTGAATTAGACTTCTAATTCCATTTCTTCTGATTTCTAAATTTTAATAACTATCTTAAAAACTAGATTTTAATATCTACTTTAAGAAAATGAGATATTTCAGATGATAAATAATGACCATTATGATCAACGTTTGATTTTGTAATAGTTACCCTAATTTATTCTTAAGAGTGGTTACTTTAAAAGCTGGAGAAAAATTCCAGTTCTTTGCCGTGCAAGCATCGTGCCTGGGACTTGAGCTGTTTGCTTGGAGTGGGTCTCGAAGCCTTGCAGGAACATGCCCATTCCTTCACCGAATGCTCCTGACTCTGTTCAGGTGTCCAGCACAGTGATGCAAACCAGCAGCATAAACATGAACCAGAAACGATCTCCCTGCTTGGGGTGGACGGATCTGAGAGCGTAGAGAACATGTACAGAAAGAACAAAAAACCTTCAGGACCTTGTGATACAGTGTCTTTCACGTACCATGCTTCATATTGCAGAATATATTTGGGAGGTTGAGAGGGAAAAACCTCAAGGTGCATAACAGATTTACCAGGGTGTGAACTTCAGGCAATCCTGGGAGACAGGACACTCAGCATCCTGTGCATCCTTACCCAGAGAGCTCTCTGGTGGAGGGAGGGAGCTGGGTCTTTCAGCCGCTCTGCCTGGAGCCAGGCTGCTCAGCCCATCTCCCACGTGGGGTCCGATGGTGGTTCTGCTAGAGTTTTCCCAGATGCTCTGCTGGGTTCCTATGGTGATTACAACTTCTCGATGCCTTCCAATTATTGTTTTTCCGGTTGCACTATAACTACTTCTGTGGAGTTTCTAATAATAGAAAAAGAACTGGGAATACAGTAACAGGTCATAATTCACATCTGGCACCATGTAAAAACCAAGAAACAGCATTCCAAGGTGTGATATCACGTCCTTCTAATGTCCCCAAAGCCAGTTTCCATCTATGGTTTCGACAATTCAGACACGTATTGATACGAGTAATACCCATGGGATGAGAAGCAAAGCCCTTCTATTGCACCTCTGGTCACGGCTGCGTTCAAGACGTGGTGAGGAGATTTTCTCATAGAGGAGAACAAATAGAGTATGTGATTGCCTTCGTGGGCATCTGCAGAGAACTAACGCACAATTTAATATAAATGCCTTCAGAGTCGCAGCCAGGCAATTTCCTCTGCAGGCAAACATGGCTGTTGAAACCGACCATTCATTTTCTGCAGTTAAGAAGAAGGGAAATAATTTCAAGACAGAACAACAACTTTGAAGTTTAATTTCCTGGTTATAACATCAGACTAACTAAACATGCTTTCAATATTACCCTTAGAGGTTCCTCATTTCCCAGATTCACCACAGAAAACAATCCAGTAGAGATTTAGAAGATTCTAATCAAAGATACCCAAGAGGAGGGGAAGCTGTGGGGCGAGGAAGGGGGAAGGGAGAGAATAAAGGAACAATGAGGAGCCAAGGGCTTTAGAGGTCACCCCACTCCCTCACTGTCTCTGTGAACAGTGGCCTTGATTAATAATTGCTGCTCTGTCTCTCCACCACAAGAGGAGCCAAGTGAGAGCGCCATGACACAAACATACCCCAAGCCTCCCCCCACCCCCCGCCCTGCCCCGCTACTGCCCAACCTCAGAACGTGGAGCTGCTGATAATGGGTTCAAGCTTCGGAGGAGAGGCTTCCAGATTGTTCCATCTGATGGTGAAGTCTCCAGGTACAGTAATGGTTAACAACCCTCCTGTGTTAGTTTTACATACGCTACATTGTGTTACATTACAACATTATAGTGTTTTACATATCACATAAACATAATAGGTAAATAATTTGTTACATAAATATTTATCTAAGAATATTACATATTATCATGTAATGTAGATTTTATGTTTGTATAGTTAATTTGTCCTGCATTAGATAATATTAGTCTGGTTATAATGCTTATGTAAACTCCTCTCCTAAAGCTCTCAATAGGTTGCATCAATTCTCTCTCAGAACAAGCCTAAGGGACACAGGTGTGGTATTGTGGTACCCATTTTGCAGGTGAGGAAATTCCGGGACAGAGGAATTGAAGTCAAGAAGTCAGTTGATGTCAAATCTTTTCTCTTAACCACAATAACCTGGGGGTCGCTTTCTGGTTATACCCAGGTTCTGGACCCACCATCCAATACTGGATTCCAGAACACAAGAATGAAAAAGATGCATACATGAATTCAAAATGACTTGAAAACAAATTTAGCTGTGAGAAGTCAGATTCATCTTTATTTAAAGTTTTCCATGGTGATTTGGCTTTTGTGGCCTCAGCTCTGATAGAAGCTTCTCTTCGCCCACCAGAGAAGTGCAGCGTGGCAATGGAGCGTGGTCATGAGTGGCAGATGTGGAGGCTCAGGGACAGCACCAGCATGTCCTCTGCAGGAGGACTCTCCTCGCACCCCCAGAACCTTCAAGCCCTGAGTATTCTAAGCCATCCTGAAGGGCAGGAGCCAGAGCTGGTGGCAGTCACGGCTCGGACTCCCACAGCCGCAGCATGCCCCGAACACTGTGGTGGAAGCAGGATGGGGAGTAGATTCCTAGGCAGGGGAGACCGAGCGAGGCCCAGGCAGAGCGGTGGATGGTGTGCCAGCTGCTCAGCAGGCCAGCCACAGGTGGAAGGTGGGGGACAGAGGTCACAGGCTCCCAAGAGCTCACCTCCTAATGTAGACATATTTTTTTTTTCTAAAATTATGTAGACATGTACTTAAAAACATTAAACCTGGACTTGGGTTTCATGTTCATATTTGGCAACGTGATCAGAATTTGGAGGAGTCTGCAAAGCCATCACATACAGCTGAGATGGATTCCTAAAAAGACCAAAGCCATTAGAATAAGTAAAGGAGTGAGTTGATTCCTGTCTCCCTCTTTGTCTCTAAGATTTTGTAGATAATTTACCCCACAATTTAGCCCCCAGGTGTGGATAACACTGTTAAAAACTAGCTGAGAATCCTTTCCTCCAAAACACATGGCCCTGATTTCAGAAACCATGGAGCTGCTTCTGTGTCGATGACGGCAGGACCTGTGCTTCTGTCTCCCTCAGCAGGTATTGGCCTGAGGTCCTTACAGCGTTGTTTCCAATTAATCTGAGCCTCCCACTCACGTTGGTTAAATGTCATGAAAAGAAACACAGCTCTAGAGACTTCCCTTAGCATTAATTTTCCTCTCCCATCACTGCCCCCTGCCCATGTTGCTGATCTTCTGTCTCTAAAATAAAAACAAACATGATCCCCGATTCCTACTCAACTCTGTCCGGTATCGACCAAAGTCTCTCCTTTTCCTCCCCTTGCCTTCTTTTAAAATTGAGATATAGTTCACAAACCACAAAATTCATAAAAATCTGTTAGCATCTTCTCTCCAACACAGAGTGGAGGCAGGCGGGGACGCTAAATATAGACATTTTCATGCAAGGAGAGAAAAACTGCAAGGAAAAAGTCATCAGTCTCAAGCAGTTTCAGAATCCAGCTGTCCTCCTGTGAGCAGCCTCTGGGTCTTCTGCCTGGGACAGGGGCTGCACCCACTGGGCCGTCAGCTCTGCCCTTGGGCTGCCCCGCTTGTCGTGGATCCTGGAACATGTTGGTCTGACTTTCCCTTCTTCCCCCTGGTAGAACTCTGGAGTCCAGCGGCCTCTTTCCTTCCAAGTCTCCAGAACATGTGAGCACTGGTGTGTTAATGTGCACCCACCCTCTAGGTGAGGCTCACCCACAGGCCTTTTCTGGGTGATTCCACATCTACCTTTGGCTTCTGCTGAGAAGGCTGAGGACAGCTGAGAGTCATAGATCCAATTCCTTCAAGGAGTCCCAAGTGACTGAATGCTGTGATCTTTAATTCCCTCAGAGTCATGAGCAGAAGCTGCCCCGTGACTTTCTCTCCAGGACTCGCTTTCCTGTAACTCTACCATTAGCATTTCTTGCAATCTAGAATTTCCCAGACCAAGAGCTGATTTCTAGTGGTTAATCGTTTTTGCCTCAGTTTGTCTTTTTCTTCTTGCATTTTACAAACAAGACTGCCACTTCAACGCTGCCTGGAATTCTCCACTTAATGTCCAAGTACATAAGTTGCTAGTTCTGCTTTTCACGTGACTAGGGGATAAAAGTCAGCTGTGCATTCAAGCTGTACCCAGGTTCTCTCCCAGTTCCCAGCAGTGCCGGCCTAGGTTTGGTTCTCTTGGCCCGGGCAGCTGGGCCCTGCGGGCTCCTCTTCCCTCCTGGAGCCTGCTTGTGATGCTCTGTGCCCTGCAGGGCTTGGTTGGGTCTCTCTCCCATCCCCTCATTTCCTTCTGAGTCCTCACTAACAGAATTACTAACATGCATGATTTTTATTAACAATTTATTCCAGGAAGTTAAGGCTTTTTCTATCATTTTCCTCAAAATTCTTCCAGCCATTCCTTACTGTCCCAATGCAAAACCTCTTCAACAGGTTTAGGAATCTGTTAGGGCAGCACGCCAGCATGGGTGCAAAATGTGTGTGTTTCCTACAGCTGCTGTGAACAAGCCCACCACAGACACTTTGGTTTTAAAAGGCATGGATTTATCATTCACGAGTTCAAAGGTCAGAGTCCAAAATGAGGCTTTCAAGGTCCCAGAGTATCGGCTGCATGGTGTTCTTCCTGGAGATTGCAGGAGACATCAGTTCAGTCCCCTTCCTGACCTGTGGAGTTTGCTGGAGTCCTTGGCTCGTGGCTGCCTGTGTCCATGGTCAGAGACAGCCATGCAGCATCCTGCCGGCCTGCTTCTCCCCTCAGCACTAGAAGATTCTCTGACTCCAAGGACCATGGATTAGGTTGGGCCCACATGGATGATCTAAAATAAGCTCCCAGTCTCAAAGTGCTCAACTCTAACACATCTGCAGTCCCTTATGCCAGGCAAAGATTCATTCTCCAACTCCGGGATTGGGACATGGCATCTATTCTGCCAATATCATCTTTCATTTCCTTCATGTCAATGTAAAAATGATATTCTTTGATGCTACTGGAAATGTTTTTAAATTTCAATTTTTGTTTCTTTTCATTTTCTAAATTTTTATTTGTTGTTTTTAGTTATACAGACAGTAGAATATATTTTGACTTATCATACATACCTGGAGCATAACTTCTCATTCTTGTGGTTTGTATAGGATGTGGAGTTACCTGGTCATGTCTTCATACATGAACACAGGAGAGTTAGGTCTGAGTCATTCCACTGTCTTTCCTGTTCCCACCCCTCTTTCCTTCATTTCCCTTTGTCTAATCCAATGAACTTCTATTCTCCCCCGACTGTGCCCTCATTTATTTGTTTGTATTAAGTGGAAATTCAGTTGATGTTTGCGTGTGAAACTTGTATGTAATGATCTTCTTACATTCATTTATTAGTTCAGGTAGATCCTGGACTTCTGTATCTTCTATGTATGAAGTTACATCACATGAGTGCTGGTGGTTGTGAGGTTCATCAAGGGGTGGAGCTGACGTTCTTTTTTCTTTTCTGATTGTGCTTGCCAGGCACTCTGGACCAACACCACGTGGAGGTGGTTGGTGATGCCCATCTGCACAGGAGGGAGGGAAGACTTGCAGCCTCGGCCTCCCTTAAGCCTGGACACTGTAGGAGGACGAGCTCCCAGGGCACCTGTCTGCCTGCTGCCTGTTATTTCTAGTTTGCTCTAAATCCTCACCCTGAAAGGGTGTCACCTTTTATAAAGTACAGTCTGCATCTTTTGAAATGATTATACAGTATTAGCTTTTCCTTTATCCTGTTAATATGGTCAACAACATCGATTCTCTTATGTTTTCGGTTCCTGGCATAAACCTACCTGAGCACAAGAGATGGTCCTTCCTTGCACTGCTGGGTTTGAGTTGCTGTGATTTTGTGGCTGTGTTCCTGAGGAATACTGGCATAATGGCTTTTCTTTTTTGAAATGTCCTTGTCTGGTCTTGTGTGGAGTCATCTGGCAACAGGGGCTGCGATGCATTCCCCTGACCTTACTTCTCAGTCAGGCCCACAGGCTGGGGAATAGCATCTCACTCTGGGCAGAGCTCGGGCAGCATTGGGTCAGTGATCAGGGCTCCAGTTTCAGGGGGCTCCATCCAGGTCAGGCTCACCGTGCTCCCCAGATAGCGCCTCCCAGGACCCTAAGTGAAAGCCCAGTAGCTGCACTTCCTGAGAACCACCCATTTGGATGGCTTAAAGCTGCCCTCTCTGTCTCCTGCTGTGCCCTGTCAAACCAGGCAGTTGCTTGAGGGAACAGAGTGGGAGCTGGTTCTGTTTTTCCATGTCCCAGGGGACTTGGTTTCTTAAACCCAGCAGGGGGAGATTCCACTCAGCTGCTCTGAATCAGGGCCCTGCTTCCTGCATACCCCGAGGATTCAGGAAAACCATGAGAACATGGGAAAAATAGCCTAGTATCCTATATCCTCCACTGGTATCCAACCTGTAACACCGCCTTCAAGCGACTGCCAAGAGCTCTTCCCTACATCTTGTCCCTCTGCTAAATCTGATCCTTAGCCAGAGCCCAGGAATGGCAAATGCTGCCAGGGAAGAAAACAGCTAGTAGTCATCGGCTTGCCTAGAATGGGAGTTTCTCTCCTCAGAAAGTTAGTTCCCCCTGATACTTATTCCCTCCACAGCTCTATCATGGCTTGAAAAGTTGATTCTTGAAATTTGCCCCTTTTTACTTAGTGTCGTAGGTGAAATATTACCTTCCTGTCTTAGTCCATTTTGTATTGCTGTAACAAAATGCCTGAGACTGCGCACTTGCCAAATAAAAGTTTATTTAACTCACAGTTTTAACTGGAGAGCATGACACCAGTATTTGCTTTTGGTGAGGGCCTCGTGGCAGAGAAGATCACATGACAGGGTACGTGCTAAAGAGAAAGATTATGTGGCAAGAAAGGAAGCAAGAGAATGCACTGGGAAAGAAAACTCTCCTTATAATCTACTTTCAAAGTAACCCATCCAGTCTGGGGAGGTCAAGCCCACTCCTGGAGATGAGCACAGACCTTTCCAAGTGTGGGACCACCAGTGACCTGGTGATGCTGATGAGAGCACACATCAGCTCCAGTTTGGGGGCAAAGCAATTTTGTAGTGTCCATTAAAGTATAAAATGTACACATCTGTCTAGATGATGGAGATTGCATTGACACAGCTACCTTCAAGACAGCCATCCTCGTAAACGTTGGCTGCAGTGTAGACAGCAATAAAAGAAGGACAGCTTAAGGGTCCTCCATGCAGGGATGGTCACCCTGTACTAGGACAGCACACCAAAGTTAAGAAGAATGGCCATGCCATTGCAGGGACATGCCTGAAATCACAGAGACTCCAGAGGCTGAGGCAGGAAGATTGCAAGGTCAAGGCCAACTTAGAAACTTAGCAAGACCCTGGGTCAAATTTTTAAAAATTTAAAAAGGGTTCGGGTGGGGGATGTGGCTGAGTGTTAGAGTGCCACTGGGTTAAGTCCCCAGTACCACAGAAAGGATAAAAAAATAAGCAAAATGAAGAAAGAAAACATAGACAGGCTGCACACTGGCAGAAATAGCTCTGTGGCCAAACGTGAGCCGCAGAAGCACATGTGTGCTATGACAGCATCAGAGAAAAGCAGAGCCAGACTACAAATTCACACGAGGACTAGGGGTGCAAACCACCAGGAGCAGAGCCAGAGGCACCGCACCTGTGCTTTCCAGAAAGAGCAGTGGGACATGAGGAGTGCCACCTCCCAGGAGGCCATGCCCACCTGTTAGTGACAGCATGCATTGCAGAGGCCCTGGGGACCATGAGAGAGAGAGAGAAGGGAAGGAAAGAAAGAGGCAGCAGAGAAAGGAAGTAAGAGGTGTTGAATTAACTCCCGATGAGAGCAGGGAGACCCACACTGACCTGTGAGAGCAGGGAGACCCCACACTGGGTGCAAAGTTGGAGGCGTGGGAAAGATTCTGGGCCAAGGGAAGTGTTTAATGCAGCAAGCCACTGTTGGGCCTGGTTGGCGGGTGTGCTGTCCATACTGCCCACGGCCAGGCCTGCTTGCTTCACCCTGGACCTGGTCTTGATGGGTAGAACGGCAGCTGGGAAGAAGACCTCCCACTCACTGTCCTCCCCTGCTTTGGGAGGTGAGGGAGAGAAGACAACTGGGCAGAGATACGAGACTGAGAGCTTAGCAAAGAAATCAGGGCCAGAAGCACACACTCCAGAGGGTTGGCCCTGAGGCCATTCTCGTGCCATGGGAGGCTGAGGTGGGGCGAGCACAGGCCCTGCTGTCTGGATGGACAGCTAGGGCAGTGCCAGGCTGACCCTGTGTCCAGGGGCACAGAGAGATGCTCTGCTGGGGGAGTCAGCAGCCAGGATGCTCAGGCCAGAGTCAGATTGTGGCCCTGTGATTTCACAAATGGAAAGGAAGGGTGGCCGGGTCATGCTTTTGACCACTGACATCGCCATGAGTGACGGACTGGTGGGTCAAAGGTGGACTCAGGAGCTCTCGGACAGTGACCACAGAGCCTTCGGGTCTGATCTTTCCCTTGGTTTTCCCTGTGGGAGAGGCCCAGCGTTTCCTCTGGAGGCTCCAGGCAGGGCCTGGTCTGGATGAGAACAGGAGCATGCCCTGGGGACTGAGCAAGACAGGAAAGGGGCCTCCCAAGATGCCTGTCTGGAAGAAAAACAGAAGGAAAACTGGGGGTTTTGAAGGTTCGATGGAGAGGTGTGTGTTCCAGAGTAGATCCTAGCCAGCTTATGTCTTAGAAAAATGTTATTTTAAACCATATGAAATGGTTTGCATTTGATCATCACTTTACCTGTGAAAATAGCGGTTTCATATGATCCAACTAAATATTGTAAAATGTCAGATACCAAAAATCCCAATTGCTGGATGTACGGGTTCATAATGGTTTACATGCCCAACTCCTGATTTGTGTCTCTGCTTAACCACATGGGAGTTCTGGGCTCTGTCCTTCTCATCATTCTGGCCAAGCACTTTTGGGACAAAGACAACCAACTGCAAAACCCTCTCCTTCCCCGACCCCAAGCCTGAAAAAGCCAAGCTCACCAGAGAAGCAGTTTGTGGGGAGGTTACTCCTGGCTTATTCTCTGGACTGGAGGTGGCGACCCAGAGACTCAGAGCCGCTGACGGAGACCCGTCTGTGCCATGTGATGGTCACAGATGCGGAGGGTGCTCCTTGCCCAAGAGCAGCCCCCGTTCCCTCATCCTCCTTGCGGGTCACCTCTGACTTCCACTGGCATCCAGGTGGTTTTCAGCAAAGAGCAAACACCTTTCTCCGACACCTTTCTCCGAGACGTGAGAGTCCTTGAAAGAGGAGGAGGGGACAGCAGCAGGAAGTCATTACCAAGTACTTGGGTTTCACTTTTAAATCCATTGCCAAGTGCACCTCGACATCTGTAAGCAAGCTTCATGGGCCTGTCACTTGCTCTGTGACCTTGCAGCTCCAAGGACTGGCTCCTCTGTGACAATGAAAGCACGTTGAACCAGCACGCCCTTGACAAAGACTTGGGTCACTGGGCTATGGGAAGCGACTCACAACGCCTGGCCCGGTTCCGCGGTGATCATGGTGAGATTGCTCCAGTGAGTCCACCTCATGAACGACGTGTATAGAAATCACCCACCGACTTCAAAGCACCAAATAAAAGTGAAACTATGATAGGAAAGGAAAGAGGGAAAATATTTAAAGGAAAAAGAAGGTCTCTGAGCAATGGGCTCACGGAGCATGGAGACTCCCAAAACGCCCCTCCTCAGGGATGGGGATACCATCCTGCCCACACCAGTGTTTGGTGTACAGTAACAGTATTTTCGAAGCTGGAGGTGAGGTGTTTGAGTTTTGGGACCCAGTGAGGAGTGGGGGTGGGTGGGCTGTGGGGAGCCAGTGTGCAGTGGGGGTCCCACAGGAGCAGAGCTACCCCTGCTGGCCAGGTGGACAGCGGCCAGGACCATCTGAGTCTCAGCACCACCTGCACCCATGCTGCTGCCTGGCTCCACTGGCCAGATCAGGGGGTTCTGCCCTACAGCACTGGCCACAGTGCCAGTGGAAGGCCCCTGCCCAAGGACCCCTCGCCTTCCTCTCCTGGAACTGGGGTTTCCACTGCTCCTCTCCTGTGAAGAGCTTCCATCTATCCTTTGGCACCCTCTGGTCAGAGCCAACCCATCTACTTCTTTATTCCAATGCCTCCCCTCTGATTTCTCCAGGCCTCGTCTTCCCAGAACATTCCTGGCATTCCCTCGGTGGAGGCCCCCATTTGAGTCCATCTCAGGGCTGAGGAAGGCACAAGCACACTCCTGAGTCCCTGAATCAGTTTCCAAACACCTGCTCCTCAGTGGAAAGGTACTGTCTCAATCCATCTTCTGTTGCTGTCACACAATACCCTGGGCTGGGATATTTATAAAGAAAAGAGCTTTATTTATCCCACAGATCTGGAGGTCCAGGAGCACAGCACCTGCATCCACTCCATTTTATTTTCCTCATGGTAAAAGGGCATTAGAGAAGCTGGTGTGTGTGCAGGAGGGGCAGCATGGGACACAGGTTGGCTTCACCATAACCTGCTCCATGAGAATGAGTCCATCCTTAAAAAATGCTTCAGTAATCTCCTCCTGGGGGCAGGTCCCTCATGATTCCAGATACCTCCCAGAGGCCCCGCAGCTTAACACCACTACACTGAAACCAAGCCTCAACCCCAGGGTGGATGGGGACAAACCACCTCCCAACCCACAGCCACCCTCGACCAGGGCCACGGCCAGCAGCAGAGCTCCCTCCTTCAGCTACCATCTCCCCCACCCCTCTGCTGCTCCCTCTGAAGCCCTGAGGCCTCTGCCCTGGCCTGTGGCCTCGTTCTCCACCCTGTCCCTGTGAGGTCACAGTCAGGGCCCCATGCCTTGCTATCCTGCGCCTGGCAAACCTGAATCTTGGAGGCCACCATCACCCAGGCCTCATGAGACCCTCCAAAGTCACCTCTGTGACTGCAGCTTCCTCTCCGTCCACCCCCCTCCACTTGCCATGGAACCTCCCTCTTGTGGAGACCAGCCTCCACTCAGCCCTCCAGCCCCCTGGGCTTTATCAGCCCCTCAAAGCCCTCACTTCCTTCCTACACAGCCTGGACTACGCGATCCAGCATGTTAACTGATGTCCCCACCCAGAGACCATGGATTCTCCTGTTCCTTCACCCTTCCACACACTAGCAGCCCCTTTCCCCACAGGGAACTGAAGGCCACTCAGATAATGGCAGGCCTGTGTGGTTGTCATCTGCTCTATTCTGAGGTCTCCAGTGGTCCCCAATGGAAGGTACTGTTGGCATCTCGATGTTCCCTGTGTCCCTTGGTTAGATCCCTCCCTCCTTCATCCCTCCTTAGACTCACGCTCATCATCCTTTCCATCACACCCAGCAATGATCTCACCTGCTATTTCACAGACAGAGCGGAAGCCACTGGGCCAGCTCCAGTCCCGCTCCCCCGGCTTCCCATGATGGCCCCACTGGGTATGTGGCCTGAGCCCCTTTCCTGCTCTTTCCTGAGACCTTCAGCCAAGGGAAAGGGACCAAGAGACAAAAGTGACCTCACAAGGCAAGACCCACGGTGCCAAGAGAATGGCCTTCGGTGGACTCTCAGAGTTGGGGTCTCAGAGTGGAAGCTCTCCTGAAGGAGATGGTGGGACTGAGGATGGCCAGGGAAGAGGAAGGCAGTCCCTCCAGGCAGGGGGTGGCTCTGAGAGAAAGGCAGGAGCGTAGATAGGTGTCATGCTTCTGGGGACCAAGTGTTGGCCAGGCTGGGGTGAAAGATGCCTCAGGCCCAGGGGAA